GGTGTTTGTTACAAACTCAAAGTCTGTGTAAACTGTGAGAAGCAATCCCTGAATTTTATTGAATGTAAAAAAGACTTTGGTGGTAAGATTTGTCCAGCAGTTTATATCTGAACACCTTCTAACTGACCATACCCAAAGTGTCAATTTTTAGCAGCTGCCCTATTATTAGTTTATTGGACATCAGAGGAATGTGACCATCATTTAACTTTGCAACAGCCACGGCATTTAGTCAGAGGCTGTCGGAGTCCCTGAAAAATATAAGACGCATGCGGGTGGTTAAAATTGCCAGCAACCACATAAATAACCTATTGTATTTTGTTACCTTGTTTGTTACCTTATTCTTATAAATACTAAGATTTTACCAAAGTTCCCTGGCTCCTTGTAATACGCAAAGTTATGAGCACCCTACAAATGTTGTGCATACATTTTTCTAAATCACTAGATGCCGTATCTGTGGAAAATAAGACTCAAACTTAAATGTATAAATACTTCGCTACTCACATAACCCTGTTTACTTTAAATGCTTGTCATCATTTTCAGAGTGAATAACTAGATTATGTAAATGAACATCAACAGAGAGCAAAATGGAGTTCTGGTTAAACATATATATAATTAAATACAATTCTGATGACAGATTCCTTTTAAGTATTACACTAATGAGTGGAAGTACCATATACTTGGATTCAATCCAAAATAGTTTTCTACCAGACATTAAACTGAACAAGCTAGACAGACACAGGCTGAGAGCAATGATGGCGTGCAAACTGCAGTAACACATAGCAACCAATCATATTGAATGCTGCATTCATCATTCAGAACAACGATAATGACTGCTGGCTGCTTGTGAAAGGTTAATTCACCTTTCATTTCTTGTGCTTTATTAAACATTCTCTAATATTCCGGTAGTACGTTACAACAAAATCCTTCAAACCTACGAAATTTAGAAGCCAGCGGTAACACTTTTGCAAAATGTAAAATAAAAAAACAAAAAACAGAATTGAATATTTTTCAAATCCTGATTAACACAGGAATGTGTAAGTAACTATCCCCATCTGTGAGATATTTTTGGATTAAGCTGAGCTTTAGCTTCCTTAAATCTGTTTTATACAATTAAGGCGAAGAATGAACTCCAAATAAATATCCACAATGGAAAAATACACAATGGCAAAAACTGCAATACAAAATAAACAGCATTCCAACCTTTCGAAAGCTTTGCTTAAACTGCAGCGTGTTGATAATAATTCTACAACGTGTACAATACCTGTCCTCGATCTATGGCTAGTTTACTCTCTGGGTATAGTTATTACCATGTGCTTTTAGGGAAAGTACTGAAATGTTTATCATAATTACATAACAGTACTTAGATTATTGGAAACAGAAAAGGCATTGTCTAAGAGTTGTTTGCATACCTCAATTTACTTAAGAAAGCCCCAGACTTATTATATTACATACTCCTTAGTAATGGCAAATCTGTACCAAGGATTTTATTTGCTTTTATGGCCCGAACTTTTTCCACAACACTTTACCGTGTACATACAGTCTTTCCCATCAGGGTTGCCCCTTATGTCTGTGATGGTTCTCATTCATCCAGGTCATGGTATAGCTAGTAGTAGTTAATCATATTCAACTTGACTTGTTCTGTAATGTTGTACTATCATTATCTCTATTCCGCAGGGTTACAGATGCAGACATATAATAGGTCCATTTTGGTTAGATGTTAGTTAACCTACCGCTATGCATTTGAGTTTAGAAAAAAGCCACAGCACATGAACAAATCCAGACAAACATAGTGAGAGCCTATAAACCCCATGTAGTGATGTGTGGGAATTAACCCCAGGATCCCAGTGCAACAAGGTTACAATACTAACCACTAAGCCACTGTGCCGCTCCTAACCACCATGCGGCCCCTGGTGTTCCAATTTCCCAAGTACCCACTAAACTAGTGTTTCTTAGCCACACATCTATTTAGCACAGTTAGTGTGCATTCTACTTGACCAAAATGAATGATACATTTTAAGCTTTTGATGTTTGTTTTGCACTCAATGTATTACTGGGTAAAAGATCAGCAAGAGGGAATCCTCCTGGAATATGTCAAAAGTCCCCCTAATGATATAGTTACCACTGGTTGACAAACTCTAGACTACAGTTTCTGGATGCTTTTAACTGTGGAAATTGCAATATAAGCCTTTAAGTCAGCAGAAGGATCTGAATATTTAAAATGACTGATCTGCCTTCTAAGAAAATCAAGAATTGGTAGATATTTTGCCTGGGAGACGAAGTCAACACATTTTGTGATCTACGGTGGCCGGGTGAAGCAGTAAAAGTTACAAATTAGTATTTAATGATGCACAGAACAAATTACGCATATCCATATGTGTTAGTTATGTGCGTTTAGGAAAAGGGGATAGACTATCGCCATCCTGTGATCTGTATCTTTTTTTTCCCCTTCCTACTCATGAGACACATGCATGTAATTAGTGCTGATTTATTTGAATAAATAACAAATGTTTATCATGAGCTGCCATATCAGGTAACCTGTCCAATGTGTTATTTCAGGAGAAATTGCAATGCTCTTTTCTCTTTGACATATTATATGTCACTTATCTTATGATGTACAGTTTTATGTTAGCTCATTCAGAAGGGGAAAAATCTGCTAGAACCATGTTAATAGAAGCCAGATGGCTGGTGTGATAAGATGGGGTGCTGGGAATATCTGTCTAGGATGTCCAGAGCTGAACCGATGAATTCCCTGTCTGCACATCTTGAGGAACAGGAGGCTATGCATTGGGAATAAGGACATAAAACAAGACTTGCAGCATTAAAAACCACACAACTTGGGGTCATTATGACCAAAGCCACAGCACAGCTGTAATGCATTCACTTAATTGTAAACAAGAAATAGCTAAAAACATCATAATGTGGCAGAATTTCTTACAAAAAGCAACATAAGCTCTCTACAGTATTGCACTTTGGATTGACTGGATAGATATAATAGAAAAACACTCACATAGAAACCGATCACGCGGAATGGGTTAAAATGCAGTCTGGTCTGTATCAGACCGTTGGGTACCTGTTCACCAGATGGGACTTTTTAAAAGACTTTAAAATGTGCGGTATTATATCCCAGCAATGAACCAGGCAGAAGTGTGGGGCTACATGTGAGATTTTAATCGCTTGGTAGAAAGATGTTTAACCCCTGGCTGTCAATTGCCTCCGCAGAAATCAATGCACTGCACATTCTACCACAGTCAGTAAGGAGTTAAATCTCTTCCGAACTATTAAAATCACATGTGTAGTTTATTTGGCCAATTTTAAAGACTTCATAGAACATCTTACAGATGTAATTTTATATGTTATTACTCTTAGTTCAGTATGCAATCCATATAAATAATCTCCTTTCTTTCCACTAATACATTTATATCAGAGAGGTAGAGTGTTTTTCTCTTCAAAAGTTGTGTTGTGTGGGATTATCTTGTTTTGTAAGGTTTTAGTACACTCATGTGTGTCATAGCTGTTAAAAGTAGCAAGTCCTTGTTATATTGTAACCACTTTCTTTTCTAAACTTCAGCTTTGTGTTTTACTTTACAATTGTTATATTATTATGTAAACATTTTAGATATAGCATACAATATCCATTGAGTAGAAGCTGCTATGGCATGTTTGCTGTCAGCTGTAGACATCTATTATAGGAATACATTGAACACCTAATGTAACACATTTACTTGTAGTTTAACAAGGTTGTACAGAAAGGAAGACCCTTTTATATGACAAATAATTGCAGACCACAGCATTCCTATAGAAACCACAAACTAAGTAGTGTAAGTGATAACTATTTGTGGATTTAGGATTAAACTATCTATCTGGACAGGCTGTGTTGACACACTGAGATAACTTCAGTGTGCATTGACAGAACACAGTTCACAGTGGAATATAAGCCATCCTTCAGATGTAATTGATGTAGAGATTACTTGTGTTTAAGAGTTTTGGGATGCTCCTATAAACCTCAGAACATAAATTCAGCTATGGGAAGGTTTGCACTGCTATGTATTGAAATATGCAAAAAAGAGTGGTTCACACAAAGTGTAATAAAGGTCAATGAATGCCATAGGAGGAGACATAGGCATTCACTGACTTTGTTGTTGAACCAATGACTCTTTACCCAGTCAAAAAAGAACATATAACACCCCCTTTGCCTGTTGCTGGCATGCCATGCTAGATCTTATAGTTCTAAAAGGGTTATGGCAACAAGCTGTCAAGAACTTTCTCAGTGTGCATGTCAGTATAGCAAACGACCTGAAACCAGTAATAAACGCCATCATGGATAGTAAAATGCAACCTGTTGGACAAATCTTATTTTACAGTTTGCATTTTGTGGAAAGAAATGACAGAAGAGCAGATGCTGTTATACAGAATTTAAAGGTGATCAGTTCTGGACCAGATTCATAGTAAAATGCCCCCAGACTTTTACTCCCTTTGCACACAAAGGTGATACTTAACAACAACTGGAGGAGTAGATCAGACTGCAAAGCATGCTTAACAGAACCACATACATAGTTAGAGAGGCAACATGCTATACACTGCTGAGAGATAGTTTTTATATTATTGTTAAAAAATGTAATAAGAGATTGCTTTAATCCACAAACTACAAGTTCATTGTTAACCCATAATGTGCCTGATCACAATGAACACCTACTGTATATTGTTAGTTACTAGAAGACCAGATATAAGTTATTTCATCATTCATTGCAAACAGAAGCAACAGAATGTAGCCTTAGAGTGTAGGTTTGGATCATTTTAGCAACTATCCAGTTAATATTATATGGGTTGTTGCCAGTTTCATTGAGTCAGGTGTTTGCTTAATTTACCAACATGTAGAAGATATATTTGGAACATGATTGATGTTTTTGGGCAACAAGCCCACTTAATTTAACCCAATATATGAACTACTGTTGTACTACCATCACCACTTGAATATGAGTAATCATATAGGCATCTCTTACCTGGCCAAGGCTTTTCCCTTTCTTGTGCGACGCTCCATGCTGGAAGCTTGAAGACCTGTTGGTGGCCAGGGTTGGAGTCTGGACCACCACAATGGACTTGATGGAGTTAGCTTTGGATCTGGAATAGTCTATCTGGGTCCCCTCCACCAAAAGTACTGCCAGTAGCAGAGGTAGCAGACAGCGGCACTCCCCATTCCACCCGACAAAAAACATGTTCATCCTTGACCAGTCTAAGTGTAGAAAAGAAGTCACACACAACAGTCCTCCCAATGTCCAAAACAGAAGTCACTATGACAACTGCCTAGTTTCCAATCACACCCAAAACATTAGGAACTTGCTGTAGAAACAACACATCCGGCTGTTTGGATGCATCAGTGAAATAAAGTAGATCATCCAGAGTCCAATCAAACGATATGGTTGTCTCTTTACAGCTGCCAAAGCACTTAGCAGCACAAGGTGTATTGGATGTCTTGTTTGGGAGTCCAGAAACAGAAGATCCAAATGCTAGACAGATAGTCCAGCAGCATCCAGCGCTTGAAGATGGAGCCAGGTGAGCAGATGAATGAAAATGCTTCTACTAGACCCAGTTCTGCGGTCCTATGCAATGGCAGAGGATGTCTTGTTGAAGGATGTGCAGGACCTGCTGTAATCTCCAGGCAGCTCAGAGCTCACAGTGGAATCACACTTCTGCAAACACTCCATGTGTTTCTGAGTCTTCCTACTTCCCCTTTTTTTTTCTCTTTGGTCTTTAATGACCTCAGCTCCTTTCTTTTTATAGGTTTCCACAAAGGGGTTTATTTCCCCCCGCCCACCTCCAGGAGTGACAAAGCCTGTAACTGATCCCCCAGCTACTTCTAGAAGTTGGAGAGGAGAAGAGAGATGTCCTTCTCAAAAAGTTGCACTTGCCTGATGAAGATGAGGATGAAGATCAGCTACCGCATCCTTGCAGGCAGGAGAAGCTGAGAGCTGGCACACATGAGCTCTCCTCTAAATCCTCCTTCCCTGGTTATGTAGCTCTCTGCAAGGCATTATCAGAGACACATAACACCCAGGCACATCGTATTGTTCTCTCTTTCCTGCGCTATAAACAATTACAGTCTGCGCAGCTGTTCCACAGGAAATCTTTTCTTCCGACTATCAGACGTCTCTCAAATACAACTTCCATGTGGGGATGGCCAGGGCTTGATGATATATGGTTCTAATGCAGAATTATGTCTAATAGAGCCTGTGGTTTCTAGACTTCACCATATGGTGATCAAATCAAGACATCCAATAGAGGGAGAAAAGGGGGTCCCAGGTCCCCACAGATTGCTAATTGGGTACAGGTAGAGATAGATTGCTCTGCTTGCTCTGATTGCTGAATTCCTCTTAGAAATGCAGCTTTGGTTTACATGAACTGATGATAAATGTTCCAATCAGATCAGCTTTCTGTGTGCTCTGTGCTTGACAGCCACATGAAATTCACAAATGGATAGGATTGGATTTATGAGGAATGTCACCGTCATTATAAAAACTGGTCACATGTGATCATTTCGTTGGTGGGAATCGCGGCGATGCGAAACGAATGTTCGCAATGTGGTGCGACGTTTAATGTAAGCAAAACAGTTACATTATAAGAAATGTGGTTCTGTTTATAAGGTTATCTGCTGGCAGCCAGTCAGACCACAGAACTGATGGATTATTCCCTGAAAAATATGCGGCATGCTGCGTTTTAGCAGAGCTGTGAGGGCCGGTGCACACCTAGGCGATTAATCCGCACGATATCGCACAAGACAGAGATTTGCCTTCAAGTCAATGGAGGCTGTTCACACCTTTTGTGATTTGTCGCGCGGTAGGAATCGCCTGTGGCGCAAAAAGGTGCAGGAGCTATTTTCAGTCGGTTATCACGCGGTTTGGGTCTCATAGGCATCTTTATGCATTGAAAACTGTGCGGTTTCTAAAGCAAATTTGCACAAACAAAAACGCGCGACAACCGCACAAAAACAGCTCCACAGCTCAATCGCCTAGGTGTGAAACTAGCCTGAGATGTGCTGCATTTGCAGCGATATTGTAACCTCGGTGGTCGTGCCACAGGAATGACAAAAGCCTATTTCGTCATCTGGTGGGGCACAGAGCTGACAATCACAACATGTTTCTGGTTGACCATGCAATGTTGCAATTGTGTTAAAGTCAAAAGCTTACTTTAAATGCAGAACTCTGATCAATATGTTTATTAACCCTTGCAGTGGGACCCCCCCCCCCACACACACACACACACACACTGTAAGGGTTAACTGCTCATTTGTGTCTAGGGACTCCTATAAAAAAAGTACTACCCGAATCTCAGAGCCAGCTGGCTGTGACAGCGTTCCCTCCAGCCTGTCTCCTTCTATGCTGTCACGCAGCATCCTCCCGTCCTATGCACTGTGTATAGAACGTGATGATTTGAGGATCCTAAGACTGCTGCAGCGGAGGTATAGCTAGACTGGAAGTAGTGGTCTAAGAGTCGGCCGTCTCCAAGGATCAGGTGAGTGTAACTTTTTTAGACATAAACGAGCACTTAACCCTTGCACTGCGGGGGTAGCCCCACTGCAAGGGTTAATACAAATGTTGCCTGGAGTTCTTCTTTAAATGTATGAATACACTTTTTTTATTTTTGGTTTTGGATAGAGTATGAAAGTATTAGAACCTTTGTCAAGTGCTCTCTATGTCTCTTCTGGAGAGATTTGCTCTCTCTCTCGTTTTTTTCTGGTGACCTTTGTCACCGAGGCAGAAAGCGATGGGAAATCTAAAATGTAGGAGCTGCTGCCAGAACACTAGGGGGCTGATTTATAAATCTGTCCAGAATAAAGTGAAAACCATTTGCATGGTAATACCGCCACTAGATGCAGCCAAGGACCATAGGAAATTCCGACATTCCTTAGTGCCATCTAGTGGCGGTAGTACCATGCAAATATCTTCCACCCAGTTATACGCTGGGCAGCAGGTTTACAAATCAGCCAGTGATGGGACATTTTTCTAATGGGTACATCTGTTCTGGTGACAACTGTGTAACAGTGATGTGAAATCTAACCAAAGTAGACACACAACAACAACAAAAACTGTGCCTTGTCTGTGCCTTTCTGCTCCAGTTTTCTTTTCCCACTGTATGGGATATAGAGTAAGGGTCACCATACACATTACAATCTGACCCAGTGGCGTAACGATCGCCATAGCGACCCAGGCGGCCGCAACGGGGTCCGGGCACAGGGGGCCCCAGCAAGGGCATCCCTCTGATGCTGTGTGGGCCGCCTGGGTCGCTATGGTATGTAAGGGTGCTGGTTGTCACTGACACAGCTCAGCAGCGGCGTTTCCCCTCACAGCCGCTACGGAGCTGTGTCAGTGACAGCAACAGCTACGGCAGAAGAGGCCAGCGTTCGCAGTGGAGGAGGAGGCGGGGCCCGCCTAAGAGCAACCCCGCCTCCTCTTACATCACTGGCCAGCTACCTAAGAGCAGGTGGGGCCAGTCGATAGAAGAGGAGGCGGGGCCCGGGGATGGAAGAGGAGGCGGGGGCCCGGCGACCACGGAGGCGGACAACGCTGACAGGTAAGAGGTGTGCAGCCCATCTGAAACCCTGCAGAGCCCACTATAGAGAGTCTATGGTGGGCTCTGCAGGGTCATTCTCAGGTGGGCTGTTTGGTATATCAGGTGGGCTCTGCAAGTGGCATAACTAGCAATCACGGGGGCCCCATACAAAATTTTGCTATGGGGCCCTGTGATTTCTAGTTACACCCTTGATCTGACCGTACAATCTTTATGCAATCAACTGTAGATTTACCAAAACTATGAAATATGAGGACCTTCCTAATCTATCCAATCAATCTGTATCGAATCAGGAAGGCCCTTGCACTACATAGTTGTTGGCAGATCTGAAGGAGGCTGTACAATCAGATTGCAAGGTGTGTGATGATCCCAAAGACAATATACAGCAATGAATAACTGACAGAAGCTCTATCCTTTAGTTGTCTACCCAGGGCTCAAAATTTCCACTCGCCCCCTCGCAATTTGCGAGTGAAAATTGCGTGGGGGCGAGTGGAAATGAAGCCATTGAGTCAGGCACTCCTCGGGGCGGCTTCTCTCCTCCTCACCGACATGATGACAGCGCTCCCTCGTCCGTCCGGGGTCGCAGGAGGGAGCGCTGCCTGCTGTCAGGATGACCGAGCGGGAGAGAAGCCGCGAGGAGAGAAGCTGTCCGAGGGGGAGAGAAGCCGCCCGAGGGGGAGATAAGCCGCGCCCGCAGCTGTCAGGATGGCCGAGCAGGGAGGAGATCGGAGCCGCTGTCATCCTGTCAGTTTCAGGATGAGAGCGGCTCTGTGTGTGGCAGAGAGGGGGATCGGTAAATATCAATGATATTTACCGATCCTCCTTGTGAGGACAAACACTGGAGTGATCGTCTGATCACTCCAGTGTTTGTAAATAACTGGGGACACATAGTGCTATGTGTCCCCAGTTATGAATGAACAGGCTGTGATTTACATCACAGCCTGTTCATTCAAACCTTTCAGTTCTACTCAAAATGAAGAACTAAAGGCTTGGGCGGAAGTTGCCTGCAGTGCTTGGATCACAAGACTGGCTGAACACAATCACAGGCAGGCAAACAGATCATATATTATGTTTCTCAAGCTGTCTCTGGCAAACTTCAGCCAATTTGGTCGGTGAATAGGATTAGACAGCCAGCCATAATCACGTGTGTGTCTGTGCTTTTGGGTGCACACACTGATGCAATAGACTGTGCACACCCTCACAGCATCTCCCTCACACCCACCTTGCCCCTTTCTGTAACAGTGCTCCCCCCCCAACATCCATGTCACCCCCCTCTCTCACAGCTTCCCCTTACATCCACCTTGCGCCTCTCTTTCACAATACCCCCCTGCACCACAGAACTCCACCCCCCTCTCCCCCCTCACTGT